CCTTTACTTAGAGGTTTCGTTGTCAGGCACTCACTGTGGGGAAGTTAGTCTGCTTCAAGGCCAACTCCTCAGTCTCTACCCTATCCTCCAATTCTAGTTCCCCATACAATGACCTGCTGCAGGTTCAGATTGAATTCAGTCTGTTGCCTTTTCTGTATGGGCAGTTTTAGTGGCCTGGGCTCAGTTGGTTTGATTAAGAAAAGATTCTGGTTAGCATGTTGCCTACCCAGCTCCCAGAAGGGGTTTTAAACCTTCCCTCCAGTTCCCAAACAATAGTCCCTGAGAGACTTATTCTTGTATTGCTGTCCTGTGAGCTGTTCTCCCTTCCCTCTCAGGACTGTGCCCTGCAGGGGATATCTGGGACTTCAGTGAGCTGAACCAGCCCCTTTCCTATTGGGGGCAATGCTCTTATCCTGCGGGAGAGGTAGACGTGCTCTACCCCTCCTTTCCCAGATCTAGTTGGCTGATTTCACAGGGTGTTCAGTTCAAACTCTCCACCATGCGGACACAAACCCCATATTTCGCTGGTCTGTCTCCCCAATGCAAGCCAGGAAGGTAGATGCCCGTTCAACTATCAGAAACTCAGAAACACACAAAGCAACAAACAGGTAGAGAACCCACCCTGCAAGGTCCCGGCACCCCCGCGCCTCCTAACCAAGCAGGAGGGGTAACAAAGTGAGCCCCATGCAGGTCCCATGCACAGCTGATCTCAGCAAAGTTGGGGCAGATCCTTGCACCCTATCCCTGTTCCCCTCAGAGAGGGAAAAATTCCTCGATTTGCTCCACCGGCAGCTCTGGCAGCTGGAGACCTGATCTGCCTCGCTGGCGACTCCAGTCCCTTTCTGGCAGTGGGAGGACTCTCTTCCCCTTCCCCGGGCCACACAGTTCAGATGCTTTCTGGGGTTCTACATAGTGCCTTACAGGAAAGCAGAGGGTCCCTGTAGGTGGCTGCTCAGTGCAGCCCTCTTGCCTCTTTCTATTTGAAAGCCACACCCTGCGGGACAGCCTTTCCTGATATCAGTACCTGGGATGAAAGTCTCCTTTCCTGGCTGCTGCCATTAGGCACGTTGTTTCACTGGGAAGTCACAGTCCCCTTCTTGCAGGCACACTGTTCCCCTGGCTCCCTCTGCCCACCATGCATGGGCTTTCCTTCCCTTCTCCTCTGCTCTGGGTTTGAGATCCCAGCTTTTGGATGCCAGTCCACATTCCCAGGGGGAGGGAGCTTTGCAGCCTCTAATCCTTGGGCCTCACAGCCCAGCACTGGCTTTAGGGGAGACTCCCTCTTTCAACACCCCTCTCTTACCAGATTCTATGATGTTTCTTCAGTGCTCCTTACTCGAAATATTTCCACTCAGGTATATTTCTTGTGTTTTTCCAAGCTGGTTACGCAGTGTTTTAGCAGTAAGTCCAGTCTGTGACTGGGAGGAAGGGCGCTCTGCTTCTTGTCAGAGTTCTGCCGTCTTCCCTCTAGGTTGCATTTTTTGTGTGTGGGTGTTTTTGAATACTCTCTACAATAAAGATGGGTATAATTTGTATGATGTAAAATAGGCCCTTTTTAGTGTACAGTTCTACAAATTTTGACAAACTCATACAGTATGTAACTGCCACCACAATGAAGATATAGAACAGTTCTTTCGCCTCCCGGTATTTTCCCTTTGCCGTAATCACTGATATATTTTTTGTCTTTATATTTTTGCCTTTCCCATAGTGTTATACAAATAGAATCATATAGTATGTAGCTTTTGAGTTTGACTTCTTTCACTTAGCATAATACATTTGAGGTCATCCATGTTGCATGTATTGTTCGTTAGTTCTTTAATTTTTATTGGTAAGTAGTATTATTACATTGTATGGTGCCGGAGCCCACCGGCAGAGTCGAACGGTCCTGAGGAAGGGGTGAGGATGGAGAAAAGACAGACACAAAAAAGATGGGATCGGGAGGACTGCAGCTCGTAACTGCCGCAGCCCCGAGTTTATTTTCTCGGCTCAATATATACAGGCACTGTTGATTGTGCTGAATAGCACCCCACCCCGCATTTCTTCCCTTTGCCCAATACAAAGTAATTTCTCCAAGGTCCTACGAATGCTTTTTCAGAGTAAACACCCTGCCTCCTGCAGGAGCTCAGGCCTTGGAAACTATCTTTATCTCGGCTTCTAATGGGAACTTTTGGGGAGGATTGAGTCCTTGGCTTGGTATGTGGCTTAACTATCCCTTAACCCTTCAGGCCGGGGCCAGCTTCCTAATTAGCCTTTCTAGAATTTATGGCCGTAAGCCAAATTAGTATTGCTTTGGTGCCTCAAGGACTGGGTCAGGGAGCAGGAGAGCATCTCTGCAGCTCACCCAGGCAGCTCCTCTGTGCCTGGGGCCACAGCAGCTCATCCACATCTCCCCCGGAGCAAGGGAACACATCTGCAGCTCACCCAGGCACTGTGCCTGGGGCCACAGCAGCTCACCCACATCTCCCTGGGAGCAGGGGAGCACATCAGCAGCTCACCCAGGCAGCCCCTCTGTGCCTGGGGCCACAGCAGCTCACCCACATCTCCCAGGGAGCAGGGGAGCACTTCTGCAGCTCACCCAGGCAGCTCCTCTGTGCCTAGGGCCACAGCGGCTCCCCACAGTATGGATTCCAATTTGTGTATTCATCTGTTGAAAAACATTTGGGTTTTCAATTTGGGTGATTATAAATATAGCTGCTATGTAAATATCCATATACCAGCTTGGGAGTTTACATAAATTTCCATTCAATTTGGGTAAATATACCTGTGAGTGGGATTGCTAGGTCATATGCTTAACTTCGTAAGAAACTGGAAAAACGTTTTCCAAAGTGGCTGTGCCATTTTGCATTCCTACCTATGATACATGAGAAGTCCAGTTGTTCCAGGTCCTCACCAGCACTTGGTATTTTCAAGTATTTTTTTTCCATTCTCATAGGTGTGTAGTAGTATCTCATTGTGGTTTTAATTTGCAGTTTACTCATGACTAATAATGTTAAGCATCTTTGTATGTGCTTATTTTTCATTTGTATATCTTCTTTGGTAAAGTATCTCTCTTTCGCTCTTTTTGATTTTTAGCTTTGAGAGTTTTTACGTATTCTCAATACAACTTCTTTGCTAGATATGTGATTTGTGAATGTTTTTTCCCTTGTGTGCCTTTTTATTCTCTTAACAGTGTCTTTTGAATTTTGGTTTCACGTTTGAGAAATTATTTGACTAACCTAAGGTTAAAAAGATTTTCTCATATATTTTCTTCTAGAAATTGTGTAGGTTTAGGTTTTACATTTAGGTCTATAATCCATTTTGAGTTAATTTTTATGTTGGAGGTATGGATTGAAGTTTTTTTTGCTTTTTTTTTTGCATATAGATATCCAATTGTTCCAGTATACCTTGTTGAAATGGGAACTCCCATTTTCCATTGAATTGCCTTTGTACTTTTGTTGCAAATAATTTTTAAGCATGAAGATATAAAATACATTTAATTATAACATACATGAAGTTCAGTTTATAAGTCTCCAGCTTGATGAATTATCGCAAAGTGAACACACTGTGTAACCACCCCATAGGTCAAGATTAAAACAAGCAAGACTTCCGAATCCCCACTCATGCCCTCTCCCAGTCAGTACCATTCCCAAAAGTAATAATTCTCCTGAGTTCTAACATCATGGATTGGCCTTTCCTGTTTTCTAACTGTATATAGATAGAATCATGTAGTATGTACTCTTTTGTGTCTGAATTCTTTTACTCAGAAGTATCCGTGAGATTCATCTATGTTGGATATACAGTTGTGATTCATTCATTTTCATTACCATACAGTATTCCATAATTTATCCGTTGTATTGTTGAGGGACCTTTTTGTTTTCTCCTCAGTTAAGTATTAGAAATAGTGCTGCAGTGAACATCCCTGTGCTTGTTTTCTAGAGCACATGTGCATGATTTTCTCTAAGGTGTGTACCTTTGAGTAGAATCTCTGGATCATAGTGTGTACACTTTAGTAAATAATGCCAAACTGATGCCCCAAGCAATTATACCAGTTTACATTTTTACTAACAGTGTGTGAAAGTTCCCATATCAAAACAATATTATGGTATTTTTAGTCTGCTTGATTGTAACCTTTCTGGTGGGTGCATAGTGGTGCTTCATTGTAGCTTAAATTTTCATTTACCTGAGTGCTAATGGGATTGAGTACATTCCTTTGGTTACCTGAGTGCTAATAAGGTCAAGTACATTTTCTCATGTTCATAGGTCATTTGGCTTTTCTTTTTAGTGAAGTGCCTATTCACATCTCTTCTCTCTTTTTGTGTTTTTGTATGATTCTTACTGATTTGTAGAGGTTATTTTATATGTTCCAGATAAGATCCCTTTATCACTTATGAATGTTGCCAGTAATCTGCCCATCTATAGCTTGCCTTTTTACTGTTGTACTTTTAATCTTGTAACATTTATAAGTCTTTTCCTTTAAGAGCAATACTTTTCATGCCTTGTTTTAGAATTCTTTCTCTATCCCAAGACTGTGAAAATATTTTCCTGTATTATTTTCTAGACACTTTATTGTGTTACCTTTCACATTGCACTTAAAATTTACCTGTAGCTGATTTTTGTGTAAGGTGAGTGTTAGGGATTAAATGTCATTTTCCCTCATATAGATATCCAGTAACCCATCCACATTTATTTGAGAAGATCATCCTCTCCCCACTGTTTTGCAGACAAACTTTGTCATAACTGATGTATCCATACATATTTGGATTCTCTTCTTTGTTCTATTGGACTGTTTGTCTAGCCTTGTATTAATACCGCATTGCCATACATATTCTATTATTTAATGGAATAGTTTTTCTACCATGATTTGTGATTTTCCCACAAGGTAGGTCACTAACTTGATATGAAGTAGGCATCCTATATTAAATCATCATCATGAACTGGGAACCCAATAAGAAGTCTCCCTAAATTCTGTCCTCATCACCCAGTGATCAGCATTTTAGAATAAAAGGAATGTACAATTACAGGGACTCGTGACATTTGAGGATGTGGCTGTGGATTTCACTCAGGAGGAGTGGCAGTACCTGAATCCTCCACAGAGGATCCTGTACAGGGACGTGATGCTGGAGACCTACAGCAACCTGGTCTCTGTAGGTAAGAATGACTTTCTCGGGTAATTTTACTATTTATGACTATTGTGTCCAACAGAGGGCCTTTACTTTCTCAATTTCAGAAACTTTCAAGATCTCTGAACTGTTTGAAGAGTTTGGCACTGAATTCTAGGGGTCAGAGTTCCTTTTTCCGCCTTTGCTCTCCTGACAAGGTGTTTGTGAACTTAAACCCAGGTGAAATGATTTGACTTAACCATGTGTCAAGCGATAGGTCCCTTGTGCTGCCTCAAACTTCACCTTCCTCTTTCTCAGAGGCTCTGAAGACCAAGGAGGTATTGCTGTCATTTCTCATTAGCAGGACAGCAGGCTACCAAACCAGAGCGCATCCTCAAATTGAAGGTAGAAGAGCCATGCCTGGCAGAAGGAAAAATCCCAATTCGGAGCTTTCCAGGTAAGTGGAATTGACCCAGGCTATAGGGACATGAGGTCCCAGCTTGTCAGTCAGGGGTGAGGACCTCTGAAAGGGCTTTCAGAAATATTTGGGGTCAGGTTGTGGTCCTTCATTGTTTGAGGACAGAGACATGAACACCTCAGACATAAGACTTACCTCCCTCCCCTGTCCAACACCCACCAGACCACTCTCCTTAAGTTGGTGCTCACCCACAAGTTTTTGCACAGCTCCTTTCCCCATATATAAGTGTCTTGTATATACCAATCCCCTGACACCAAGTCCTGCCACTTCTACCATTCTCATTTCTCACTGTCTTATCTAAAGACAGCCCACATTAGTCACGGGCCTAGGCTAATGCTACAATTCCGGATTGAATTACGTGATTCTATTCAGCTTAGATATTCCTATCAGATATATTCTCCTAACACATCTTGATTATCTATATTTGTCTTTTGTTAAAAGTATTTTTTAAATTTATCATTATTGTCGAAAGTATTACAGATTTCCTATTTTCCCCTCCATTGATCAGCTCCCCCCGGCCTTCTCCACACTGTTGTCTGTGTCCATAGGTTAAGCATATATGCATATAAGTTCTTTGATTAATTTTCCCCCCACTCCCCCACCCTGCCTTCCCTCTAAAATTTCTCATACTGTTCCATGGTTCTATGTCTCTGTATCTATTTTGTTCATCAGTTTATTTTGTTCATTAGATTCCACATATGAGTGAGATAATGGGATACTTTTCTTTCTCTGACTGGCTTGTTTCAGTTAGCATAATACTCTCCAGTTCTATCCATGCTGTCCCAAAGGGTAAGAAATCCTTTTTTATAGCTGCATAGTATTCCATTCTGTCAAAGTACCACTGCTTTTTTATCCACTCATCTACTGATGGGTACATGGGCTGTTACCAGATCTTAGCTATTGTAAATTGCACTGCTATGAACATAATGGTGCATAGATTCTTTCTAATTGGTGTTTCAGGTTTCTTAGGATATATTCCTAGAAGTGGGATCACTGGGTCAAAAGGCAGTTCCATATTTAATTTTTTGAGGAAACTCCATACAGTTTTCTATAGTGGCTGCACCAGTCTGCATTCCCACCAGTTGTGTACTACGGTTCCCTTTTCTCCACACCCTTGCCAGCGCTTGTCATTTGATGATTTGTTGATGGTAGCTATTCTGATAGGTCTGAGGTGATAACTCATTGTTGTTTTAATTTGCATATCTCTGATGATTAGTGACTTTGAGCATTTTTTCCGTCTGTCTCTTGGCCATCTGTATCTCCTCTTTGGAGAAGTGTCTATTTAGGTCCTTTGCCCATTTTTTAATTGGATTGTTTGTCTTCTTTTTGTTAAGTTATATGAGTTCTTTATATATTTTGGAAATTAATCCCTCATCAGATGTATCATTGGCACGTATGTTCTCCCATTCAGTGGGCTCCCTTTTCATTTTTTTGATGGATTCTTTCACTGTGCAGTAGATTTTTATTTTGATGCATTCCCACTTGTTTATTTTCTCCTTTGTTTCCCTTGCCCTAGGAGATGTATCGACAAACATATTGCTATGACAGATGTCTAAGATGTTGCTGCCTACATTTTCTTCTAGGAATTTTATGGTTTCACAACTTACATTTAAGTCTTTTATCCATTTTGAGTTTATTCTTGTGTATGGTGTGAGTTGGTGATCTAGTTTCATTGTTTTGCATGTACCTGTCCAATTTTCTCAACACCATTTATTGAAGAGACTGTCTTTACTCCATTGTATCCTCTTGTCTCCTTTGTCAAATATTAATTGAGTGTAAAGGCTTGGTTCAATTTCTGGGTTCTGTGGTCTATTCCATTGATCTATATGCCTGTTCTTTTGCCAGTACCAGGCTGGTTTTTTCTGTTGTTTTTTGTTTTGTATTTTTACTGATTATAAGCTCTTTTATTGGTTTTGTTCTTTTTCAAATTATCTTTATTGTTGAAAATATTACAGATGTCCTCTTTTTACCCCCATCGACCCCCTTCACCCTGCATATACCCCACCCCCAGGCCTTCCCCAGACCAATGTCTGTGTCCATGGATTATGCTTATAAACATATAAGTTCTTTGATTAATCTCTTCCCACCCACTCCCTGCCCACACCTTCCCTCTAAGATCCCTCAGTCTGTTCCATGCTTCTGTGTCTCTGGATCCATTTTGTTCATCAGTTTATTATATTCCACATATGAATGAGATCATGTGGTACGTGTCTTTCTCTGACTGGCTTATTTCACTTAGCATAATACCTTCTAGTTCCCTCCATGCTGTGCCAAAGGATAAAAGGCCCTTCTTTTTTATAGCTGCATAGTGTTCCATAGTGTGAATGTCCCACAGCTTTTTATCCACTCATCTACTAATGGGCACTTGGGCTGTTTCCAGATCTTAGCTATTGTAAATTGTGCTGCTATGAACATAGGGGTGCATAAGTTCTTTGTGATTGGTGTTTCTGGTTTCTTAGGATATATTCCTAGAAGTGGGATCACTGGGTCANTGTAAATTTTTAATTTTTTGAGGAACCTCCATACTGTTTTCCATAGTGGCTGCACCAGTCTGCATTCCCACTAGCAATGTACTAGTGTTCCCTTTTCTCCACACCCTTGCCAGCACTTGTTCGTTGATGTGTTGATGGTAGCCATTCTGACAGGTGTGAGGTAATACTTCATTGTGGTTTTAATTTGCATCTTTCAGATGATTAGTAAAGTTGAGCATTTTTTCATATGTCTCTTGGCCATCTATATGTCCTCTTTGGAGAAGTGTCTATTTAGGTTCTTTGCCCATTTTTTAATTGGATTGTTTGTCTTCCTTTTGTTAAGTTGTATGAGTTTCTTATATATTTTGGGTATTAACCCTTTATCAGATGTGTTGTTGGCAAATATGTTCTCCCATACAGTGAGCTCCCTTTTTGTTTTGTTGATGGTTTCTTTTGCTGTGCAGGAGCTTTTTATTTTGATGCATTCCCGTTTGTTTATTTTCTCCTTCGTTTCTCTTGCCCTAGGAGATGTATCAGCAAACATATTGCCAGGAGAGAGGTCTGAGATTTTGCTGACTATGTTTTCCTCTATGATTTTTATGGTTTCGTGTCTTACATTTAAGTCTTTTATCCATTTTGAATTTACTTTTGTGTATGGTGTAAGTTGGTGGTCTAGTTTCATTGTTTTGCATGTACGTGTCCAATTTTCTCAGCACCATTTATTGAANAGTTCCCTCAATGTTTTCCCAAAGGATAAAAGATCGTTCTTTTTTACAGTTGCATAGTACTCCATGGTGTAAATGTGCCACAACTTTTTTGCCTACTCATCTACTGATGGCCACTTGGGCTGTTTCCAGATCTTAGCTATTGTAAATTGCACTGCTATGAACTTAGGGGTGCATAAGATATTTGTGATTGTTGTTTTGGGTTCCTTAGGATATATTCCTAGAAGTGGGATCACTGGGTCAAATAACATGTAAATTTTTAATTTTTTGAGGAACCTCCATACTGTTTTCCATAGTGGCTGCACCAGTCTGCATTCCCACTAGCAATGTACTAGTGTTCCCTTTTCTCCACACCCTTGCCAGCACTTGTTCGTTGATGTGTTGATGGTAGCCATTCTGACAGGTGTGAGGTAATACTTCATTGTGGTTTTAATTTGCATCTTTCAGATGATTAGTAAAGTTGAGCATTTTTTCATATGTCTCTTGGCCATCTATATGTCCTCTTTGGAGAAGTGTCTATTTAGGTTCTTTGCCCATTTTTTAATTGGATTGTTTGTCTTCCTTTTGTTAAGTTGTATGAGTTTCTTATATATTTTGGGTATTAACCCTTTATCAGATGTGTTGTTGGCAAATATGTTCTCCCATACAGTGAGCTCCCTTTTTGTTTTGTTGATGGTTTCTTTTGCTGTGCAGGAGCTTTTTATTTTGATGCATTCCCGTTTGTTTATTTTCTCCTTCGTTTCTCTTGCCCTAGGAGATGTATCAGCAAACATATTGCCAGGAGAGAGGTCTGAGATTTTGCTGACTATGTTTTCCTCTATGATTTTTATGGTTTCGTGTCTTACATTTAAGTCTTTTATCCATTTTGAATTTACTTTTGTGTATGGTGTAAGTTGGTGGTCTAGTTTCATTGTTTTGCATGTACGTGTCCAATTTTCTCAGCACCATTTATTGAAGAGACTGTCTTTACTCCACTGTATGTTCTTGCCTCCTTTGTTAAATATTAATTGACCATAATGGCGTGGGCCAATTTCTGGCTTCTCTGTTTTGTTCCACTGATCTGTATGTCTGTTCTTGTGCCGTAATGTGGCTGTTTTGATTACAGTGACTTTGTAGTATAACTTGATGTCTGGTATTGTGATCCCTCCTACTTTGTTCTTCTTTCTCAAGATTGCTGTNAAGATATTTGTGATTGTTGTTTTGGGTTCCTTAGGATATATTCCTAGAAGTGGGATCACTGGGTCAAATAACATGTAAATTTTTAATTTTTTGAGGAACCTCCATACTGTTTTCCATAGTGGCTGCACCAGTCTGCATTCCCACTAGCAATGTACTAGTGTTCCCTTTTCTCCACACCCTTGCCAGCACTTGTTCGTTGATGTGTTGATGGTAGCCATTCTGACAGGTGTGAGGTAATACTTCATTGTGGTTTTAATTTGCATCTTTCAGATGATTAGTAAAGTTGAGCATTTTTTCATATGTCTCTTGGCCATCTATATGTCCTCTTTGGAGAAGTGTCTATTTAGGTTCTTTGCCCATTTTTTAATTGGATTGTTTGTCTTCCTTTTGTTAAGTTGTATGAGTTTCTTATATATTTTGGGTATTAACCCTTTATCAGATGTGTTGTTGGCAAATATGTTCTCCCATACAGTGAGCTCCCTTTTTGTTTTGTTGATGGTTTCTTTTGCTGTGCAGGAGCTTTTTATTTTGATGCATTCCCGTTTGTTTATTTTCTCCTTCGTTTCTCTTGCCCTAGGAGATGTATCAGCAAACATATTGCCAG